ATCGGGATCGCCGACCAGGTCGGCGATTCGCCAATAATTTTCTGGGCTTGCCGACTTTTACAGACTCCAATGTAAAATTATCTTGAGTCCAACAGCGGTCTGGGTAGGGGTCGCTGACCTCTTCGGCGATGTGCCGACTGGACCTTTTGCTCGCTAATGTGCACTTTTCAACAACTTTCCCACTTCGACATGCACAAACAACACACTATTATTTCTAAAAGAAAAAATAAAGGGATAATGGGTCTTGGGTTGCCTCCCAAGTAGCGCCTTAGTTAACGTCGTGGCACAACGCAAGTTCCCACTTAAGTTCCATTAGTGGGGTTCGTCTTACTTTCATAAGGCAACCCCTCTTTCGGTTCTAGGTAGAGACATTCCAAAAGCATCTTATCTGGAATTCCATGAGTCGAGCACTGCTGCAAGAGAGCATTAAACCTTTGCCACAACTCATAAACTGACTCACCCTCCAATCTATTGAAACTTGGGATGCTATTCTGTAGCATCATCATTTTCAGAAGAGGGTGGTCTATTGGGTCACCGTTGCTAGCATGTATGCTCAATTTTTCTGTTAAAAAAAGCAACACGAAAACCAAAACTAAAAATTAAGTAAGTTCAACTATAATTAACAAGAACAAAATTCAACTTAACTAAAAAATTTCAACTAACACCATTCCCCAGCAGCGGCGCCATTTTGATGTTTGCGTAATCAATTGACACTAGTTCGGTTCAACTGTCATACGATCACGTGTAGGGATATAACCCAACCAAGGGTCGGGATCGTTCCCATAGGGAGTGGTTTGGAGAATTAATAGAAAAATAAAATTTAATTCTAATTAGTCGTAGCTAAAGACATTAAAGATGAAAAACATTGTAAATCTAAAAAGGGGTGACGCAAGCGTCAATTAACAATCTGGGGGGTTTTGTCACAAGTAAGCAAAAACGGTGAAAATAACAAAGAGATCTAATAAATGAGAAGGGGATTCTTGGGATGTGATTAGGAACACGGGATAAACAAGATTATTGGGTACATGCTTTTGATAGAGAACTTATAGAGTAATTGTGACTAGGCTAGACTTTAAGAGGGATAGGCTCTCTCTCGAGCAAGCCGAAAACACATATATGAGACTATATTTGCAACTACAATCTCATTAAGTTCATCGACAACCACTAAATGAAATCACATTTAAACTACAAATAAACTATCAGCAAGCAAGACCCAATAACTAATCTAACCCATATTCACAAAATCACACCCCAATAATTGGGGTTTTTAGCCACACATCAAGAAATAGAAATTTATACCTAAATGAGCTTGCATTCAAATGGGTATAAAGATTTAAGTCTTGTTATAGGCCAAGAATAAAGGATCCAAGAGACCCAAGTCCAAATCCTTGGAGATGAAACCCTATTCAACTTCGAGTCTTCAAAACCCTCTCTAACTCAGAGCAAAAATAAGAAAAACCAATATTCTTTATGAAAATTATAATAATTGTTCCACTCTTAAAACTACAACTCTAACTAGTATTTATAGTTTTCACAGATTTGTGTTGCAACGAATCATTCGGCGTAGTTAGTCGAAATCGCAGATCAACTCGGCAATTCGCCATTTGGTGTAGTTCATCACCGTCTTGCACCATCCTTCAGCATCATCATGCTCTGGGTCATTGGGCGACATGGTACTGCTTCACGGAACTTTTCGGCGATGCGTTGACTGCTCCCTTTTTCCACCGACTTGATCCTTTCCGTTAGAGCTCAGCGCACTAGAACAAAGTAGGACCCTTCGGCGACTCACCAAGTGGACTCGGTGATCCTCAGACCTTCATTTCTTCATTCTTTTCATTCTTTTTTGCGACGTAGTGTCCATGCTTTCCTTCAAACTTCAAATACCTAAAACTTAAAGGTTTTCATCAGATATTGAGATAAAATGAGCATTTAAGGACACAATTTCTATTAAAATATTGCGCTAAATTAGTCCAATTTGTGGACTTATCAATGGCAGCCTGGAAGAACTGGCTCACCATGAATTCGATTGATCACTGGTCTTCTAAACGAGGTTTGTCAGTAGCCGCCCAAAGATGTCCTGTACTAAAAAAAGAAAGAGCAAGTACAGTATTAGTATACAACCACAGTGTACTGGTAGGATCACACGGCTATCCAAATTAGTGAAATATATGCAATTAATCACAACATAATAAAACATGCATCTACCGAACATATACAATATCAGTCATCTTTCAAAATAAATGAACAATTCCACATTCTCGAAATACATCAATATAACAAGTCAATGGTCCTCTCAAGGAATCCACACCCAAACTCTTAGTGTACCGGTACATGGTACCTGATCCAAGTTAGTGAGTCGGACGTGACACCCGATCCCATATATGCGTCAAAACGTGCACCCGATCTAAGTTAGTGTGTTGGAACGTAACACCCGATCAATTGAACAAGCCACAGTCACAATCATAATGTACATTCTTATTATCATACAATCAAGTGTTGATCTCTTGCATACAATTATTCATTCATACTCATTTACGATTAGTGTGATCAATAATGCAACATTTGCATACATGCATGCATTAAAATAAAGTAAATACTAACATACATCACACCAACATGAAATCACAACCATCACATACCTCTAACAAAGCTTGAATCCTCCGAAGAAACTTGATTCTTCTCTTTTCGGATTCTTTCCGCTTGTTCTTGGTCTACAAACAATTAATAAAATACGGGGATCAATAATTAAGGTCTAATTTACTAGGATTATGACAAACCCAATAACCCAAGACCCAATTTATGATCCTAAGGTGCATCTAGGGCTTTTTGCACCATCCAAAACCGTTCAAAGCCCTTCCCCAACGATATACAATCAAGATTTTACATTCTACAGATCGAAAAATGAAATTGGGGAGCAAAATCCTTACCTTTAGCACCAAATTTCATGGAAAATTGTTAAGAACTCGTCTGGGATCGTCTCCTAGCTCTCAAAATCGAATGTTGCAGAAAAATAACGTTTTTGAGGTTTATTTCCGACTTAAGTCGCGACTGTCCCGCCACAATGGGCCTCATCCCGCTACAGTGGCCCCACCTTGGTGGTTTGCACGGAAACAGAGAGCTAATTTAATAGTTCCAAACCCCCATTTCACAACACACATTTATCCCATGACACTCAGAAACTATATGTTCACGCTAAGGTCAGTTTCAGGAATTCTACTCACCTGAATTCAATTCCGTAAAGTCGTACGGGTTCCTTAACGTCTTAGTTATCTACTCACGTGATCAAATTCATAATTAGATCTCCCATTTGTTACCAGATTTCCTTATACCTCACTGACTTCGATTTTATTCAAATTTGGATTAGGTTGGGAAATTTCAAGTTACTGCCAAAAAGTTTTTTGGTCCAAAAAATTTCCCCATTGGCTTTTCTATAATGACAGGAACATGTCGTTACATCTTAGGGCGTAAGTCTTATAGAACTAAGCCCCACACTTGAGTCTCGAGGCATTTTGTTAGATCCCCACCCCATGGCGAGCCCTGAGGTGAATCCCATCAAAGTTGTTTAAAACACCGGTCTCACTAATTGACAATCCAAAATATTTAAAAGATATATAAAAAATTTACGGTTAAAGATAGACTTGTTTGAATGTTGAAATCCACAACATCTCACATAAATTGGAACGGAGAAAATAATTGAATTGACAGCTCATGAGTCAAAATGTTTTGAAGCATCATTTTGGTAAAACTGAAGATGAACTTACTCGGCTTTGGGCTCCAATAGCATCACATGGAAATGACAAAGTTTATTTTGATTATTGTCACTTAAATTTATAATATTGTACTTTTAATTCACTGCTATGTAACAACGAAAAAAATTATTTAGACTAATGATCAATTTGGTGTGATCACATTATTATCTTCTTTCTTGTTTTCTTATTTTGACTTTGGTTATTATTTAATAATAGTATTCTATATATCCTTTACCTTACTTGTTTTAATGATATGATCTATTAAATATTTTATGCATAAAAACAAGGGAAAAAGGTCTGAAAAATACTTCAACTTTGGCCGGAATTGATGTTACGATACCAAACTTTATGGAGGACCTTTTACCCCCCCCTGCAGTACTTAATAGTGTATTTTAAAGGTATATATGTGCCCATGTGGACACGTTATTTTTTATAATGATGCAATATTTATGATGTCCACGTGAGCACATATATGCCTTTAAAATACACTATTAAATAGTGCAGGGGTAAAAGGTTCTTTCCAAAGTTCTATATTGTTACAGCAATTTCGATCAAAGTTCGGATATATTTCAGACCTTTTTCCCTAAAAACAATATAGTACAACATCATGCATATAACAACCATACAAACAAACTATCAGTCTCATGCGCTCAATTGGATTATTGAAAATAAAAGGAAATCAGTAAAATATGGGTTGGGGCTGGGGCATGTTTGGAGAAATCAGTAATCAATTTTATAGAATTATCAGGATACTAAAATCGAAAATCTAACCAAATATTGACACTTTAAAAATTTTGCTTTCAAAATTTAACCAATAACAAAAAAAAAAAAAATCGAACTAAGATTCAGTTTTCGATTTCTATGCACTCACATAACTCAAGTGGCACATATTCGAACATAGATAAGGAGTTCACAATGTGGATACAGGATATATATATATATATATATATCCTTAATTAACTAAGATTAAAAGAGGAAAGAATAGTTCAATGCACAAATCACAAATGAGTTATTTTGCTAGTGGTGGACATTTTTGCATTAAAAACGTAAAATTTGAAACCTCGAAAAGAAAAAAGACGACTTTATATATTAGCGCTCTTGAATTCACATAAGCAAATTTAAGTACTTTGTATTGCTTGGTGAATCATAAAGTACATATTCATGATCAACTTAGACACGCATGACATCCAAATTGTCTTTAGTAAAAAAACTAAAGTACATAATTTCGAAATTAAAATTCTAGTAAAAAGCATAAATTAGAAAAGTACAACATATTCATGTGTGATATGTAGTTCTTCTTCATATTTAATTTGTGAATCCTCCTCCATCTTGGTGCAACACAACAACGATCTGATCACCATTCTTTAACCCAATCTTCATAAAAAAAATAGAAACACGAAAAAATATTAAAGTTATACAATTTTAAATTAACGATAAATTAAATTAAGTTAGAAAATTAAGGTCTTACTTCATCAATAGTCTTTGTTGGTGAAGCACGTTTTCCATCGAAGAGAAATCGAACTGTTTTGTAATCCATTTGTTTTTTCTTACAGTATATCATGAAGATTTTCTTGATAACTATATCAGGTGACACATTAAAAATGATAATGATCCCTATAAAAATAAAAATAAAAATTAGGAACATAAAAATTTTAAAAATTATAGTAGAGAGTGAAATGATGAACCTGAGATTGAACATGGATTTCAATTGTTGTGGTTTCATCAACTGGACTCTTATTTTCTGACATTTTTCTTTGTTATTTTTTATTGGTGAAAATGAAGGATATTATACCAGTTTATATAGGAGATGAGAAGGAAAAAATAATAAATGAAATGATATAAAATATTAAAGCAATTTATGGTCCTCTGTCCTCTTTGTACCAAAAAAAGATTTAAGATATATTTCAATTTATGAATTGTTTGACTGATATGGAGTTTAAAAATGAAATTAATATTTTTGAAATTATGGTCAAAATAAAATTTATATATTTGTGTGGTTATGAATTATCTTATTAATTAAGAGAAAATAAGAAGTTTAAACTTAGATTGTTCTAGAAGACTATAAACACTTTAGTTATGACACAAAAATAGACTAAATATTCAAAGAATAGATTATATCTTAAGACATAAATAAGGGTAGATAGTAAAAATCCCTTTTTTTAAAGGATGTGTAATTTGTGTGGTTATGAATTATCGTATTAATTAATAGAAAATAAGAAGTTTAAACTCAGATTGTTCTAGAAGACTATAAACACTTTAGTTATGACACAAAAATAGACTAAATATTCAAAGAATAGATTATATCTTAAGACATAAATAAGGGTAGATAGTAAAAATCCCTTTTTTTAAAGGATGTGTAATGAAAAATAAGAAAGCATTGTTATTGACTAATGTGATTTCATTTTTAAATATTAGTCGTACTTCTTTAAAAGGTTGTGTTGGTTTATACGATGACATCGGTTTATATGGTGGTTACACATGTGAATTGAATTTAAAATGTACGTAGACTTTATTTTTATCTTTGTGGGATATAAAAGTTATTTTCGAAAGACTATCAATTCAAAAAGAATGTTACTAATGCAAGATTGCAAGAAAAATGTAACAACCACAAGATAGAAAACAAATAAAGCAACAAATAGTATTAAACATAGAATAATAAGAACCTAAGTAGTTACTAAATAATTCTACCAGTAGTGAGAAGAGGAAAGGGTAAGGCTAGCCCCTACTCTCGTACATAAAGAGGGACAACACCAGCTACCTACTAACATTTTAGCCTAGTCTACGACTTCAATAACTTTCTATTTAGGGTCATGTCCGTGTTATTCGATTAAATATTTTGTAAAAGCTTTAGTTTCATATTTTTCCTCAAATTGTTTCCCACTTATAAATTACTAGACACAAGTGTCTGTGCTAGCACGGGCCCAATATCTATTCTTTTTTTCGTCTCACTTTATGTGATATAAATAAAATTTAGAGAGTCAATTAAATTTTGATATGATTTTAAAATATTTTAAATTGTTAATTATTGTAAATTATAGTACTTTTTACGTAATTTTTAAATAATATATATTGCTTCCCTTGTACCAATAGATGTAGCACAAATAGAATTTCAAGAGTCAATATGTTATTAATAATTGAGATTTATAATACTATGTACGTAGTTTCCAAATTAAAATTAATACGTGTTACTTCTTTTTGTCCCATTTTTATGTGACATATATAGATTAATTTTATGAATCAATCGAATTTTTTTAATAAGCAATCAATTTTTTATATGAATTTTAAGTTGTCAATTAGTATGATTTATAGTATTTTTTAGATATATAAGAAAATTAAAAAATAAGACAAACAAATTAAAACGAAAAAAAAATATAGAGAAATGTATATGTAAATGTGGAGCCACACAGGTGAAGCAAGCATGTCGACCGCCACTTATGTGGTTGGTTATCCACACTTATATAAGTAGTGGATGTATTTGCACTTTTCAGCTGAGTTGTGAGGGGTAAACATGCCCCATGCCTTTAATTAGGGATGTTCATGGTTATGATTATAAAACTAAATCGAACCGCAATCCGAATCAAATCGATTAAAATAATTGTTATTTGATTTGATTTGGTTAGGTTTGATTTTAAATTTTGAAAACCCAATATTATTTGGTTTGGTTTTGGTTTTACAAAAAATTAACCGAAAAAATAATCAAACCGAACCGAGAAGTTATATATATAAATTTTATAATTATTTATAAATAAAATATAAATATTTTAATAAATTTTAATTAACTTAAATCTTTAATTTTATTATTTTCTGAAGCCCAACACTTAAATTTTTGCCCAACTATTAAAACCTCAAGTCTAAATCCCTCAATATTCATTACTTTAAAGATCACACTTTCTCTGTATTTTATAAATTTTTCTAACGCAACATTGAATAATTTAAATCTCAAGCTAAAGAAGATGGTAATTGATTAGTTTTGACTATGAAATATTGGTTGTTGTTTTTATAAGTAATTTCTCAATATTTTAAAGTGTCTATTTACAAGATATTGAGATATCCAGAATATTGAACCAACTTTATACTATTGACAATGAATTTTTTTAATTTCTGAAACTTGGTACATTAGATGAATCACTTTGTTCGTGTAATAGCTTATTTGTGAATTATTCATGTACTAAGTGTTTGTGTCTACCAAGATGCGTATGTCCTCAACAAACTTATTACTTTCGAACCGAACCGACAATAACCAAACCGACGGTTATTTTTTTATTTGGTTTGGTTTTAAAAATTTAAAAACCGATTTAAATTGATTTGGTTTTGATTTTAACTAATAACCGATCTAAACCGAACCATGGACACCCCTACCCTTAATTTTGACATCACTATCAACTTGTGCAAGAGGCTTTACTCCTAATTCAACAAGTTTCGAGACGAAGCTTAACCAATTTTTTGTTTAACCAAATATATATATATATATATATATATATATA